CTTCACCTTTGGCAGGTGGAGTTTGCCCCTTAGAGCCTTTCCCGAGCACAGCCACTGCTGCAGCTCACCACGCCCCACCGGGATGGGTGTAAATGTCTGGCTGACTCCAAAAGTTCATTCAATTAATCCAATGGTACAAAATTTGATATTTAAAGAATAACATGTGTGGTGATAGAAAAGGTAATATATATAATGAAGAACCCGGGCGTGGGAGGAGTTCGGTGAGACCATGGAGCAAGACGTCCGTACGGCTTCGAGGAGATTCTGGTCCACCATCCGGCGCCTCAGGGGGGGAAAGCAGTGTGCTACCAACACTATCTACAGTATAGAGGGGACGGTGTGCTGCTGACTTCTACTCAGGACGTTGTGGATCGGTGGGCAGAATACTTTGAAGACCTCCTCAATCCCACCGACACGTCTTCCAGTGAGGAAGCAGAGTCTGGGGACTTTGGGTTGGCCTCTCGAATCTCTGGTGCTGAGGTCACTGAGGTGGTTAAAAGCTCCTCTGTGGCAAGACTCCAGGGGTGGATGAGATCCGCCCGAAGTTCCTTAAGGCTCTGGATGTTGTGTTGGCTGACGCGGCTCTGCAATATCGCGTGGACATCGGGGGCAGTCCCACTGGACTGGCAGACCGGGGTGGTGGTCCCCTTATTTAAAAAGGGGGACCGCAGGGTGTGTTCCAACTACGGGGGATCACACTCCTGAGCCTTCCTGGTAAGGTCTATTCAGGGTTCTGGAGAGGAGGGTCTGTCGGATTGTTGAACCTCAGATTCAGGAGGAGCAATGTGGTTTTGGTCCTGGCCGTGGAACACTGGGCCAGCTCTATACCCTTAGGGGGATCCTGGAGGGTGCATGGGAATTTGTCCAACCAGTCTACATGTGTTTTGTGGATTTGGAGAAGGCGTTTGACCGTGTCCCTCGGGGGGCCCTGTGGGGGGTACTCCAGGAGTATGGGGTACCAGGCCCTCTGATACGGGCTGTTAGGTCCCTGTATGACCGGTGCCAGAGCTTGGTCCGCATTGCCGGCAGTAAGTCGGGCTCGTTCCCAGTGAGAGTTGGACTCCGCCAAGGCTGCCCTTTGTCACCGATTCTGTTCATAATCCCTCTGTTCTCTAATTCCCCTCAGGGATTAATAAGGTATTGATTGATTGATTGATTGATTGATAACCTTTATGGACAGGATTTCTAGGAGCAGCCAAGGTGTGGAGGGCATCCGTTTTGGTGGCCTGAGGATCAGGTCTCTGTTTTTTGCAGATGATGTGGTCCTGTTGGCTTCATCAGAACGTGATCTTCAGCTTTCGCTGGAGAGGTTTGCAAGACCATGGTCTTGATTCGGAAAAGGGCAGAATACCTTCTCCGCAGTAGCGGTTTTAGGCACGGGCAGACAGCGCAGTTGCCCGGGGCGGCATTTTTTCATGACACAAAAGGGGCGCACAAGCGCCGAGTAAAAAAATAAAAAAGAAAGAAATTTGCGCCGCACCGAGGTTTTCTATTATCTGTCATATGACAGTGTCTGGATTGTAAACAGCAAGTTGGCGCCCCCTGCAGTTGCAGGTGCTCCTGCTGACTGAGAACGTTCACGTGCACCGTGTGTGTATGAAGAAGAGGAAGGGGAGGGGTGCGGCAAGGGAATTCACCTCTGGGTCTTTCCCAAATGAAATGAGCGGGTAGGGGCTGAATCAACTGTATTAGCATGGCTAAAGTCCATCACATCTTGATGTTCTTCCATTTAACACACATTTCATTCATAATATCATAAACACAGGCCTATCATTCTTTCAGGTTTTTATGAATTGTGTGAAATGACCGAATAAAAAAAGGAAAAACAAAACGATTTTGTGGTCACACCCCCATCAAGGTCAAATTGTTTAGTCCTGACTAAAGGAAACTTACTGAGTCAAGAGCCAAACAGAAGAGATGAACATAAAAAGGCTAAAACCACCAGGTGCCCGATTCAGGAATAAAAAGAAAGAAAAAAGAGGAGAAAGATAAAGGTATGTACTGTATGTTTTCTGTTCTAATGTTGTAGTGATCATCTTTAGTTTGTTATGTGTGAAATATTTTTGCTATTTAGAATATTTATTATCTATTATGTTCATATATTCTTAATATTTAGTTACTGTTTGTTTTTGTATATGTGATTCTATATATTTTGATACAGTTGTAGCGTGAGGAAGTATGGGTTTTTTCTGTGCCAAAGGTTGTATTTGCCCGGCTGGGTCAAAGCTGGGTCACCAGCAACTTTCACCCACAGTTAAAGACCTGAGCCGCCAGCAAGTCTACACGATTCCACAACAACCGAACATCTGGTCTCCAGAAGAAGGAGTTCTCACACAATCTAGCCATAATAAAGAGTCTTATGCTTCCGTTGTTTATTAATGCTAAATAATCATTTTATCACTTTATTAATTATAAATGTATTTTAATCAAATTAATGATTATTATGCTTTGGGTAATCATAATGAACTATAATGAATCAGTATACTTAAAGAGCAAGTAACGTCTAAATTAACTTTTTTTGCTGATGAACTGTATAAATGAGTGTCTAATAGTGTTTTAAATGTGTGCATTCTTTATTTTAGCATTTTGGTGCATTTTCTTTAAAAATTAAAATTCTGCCTAAATACCACAGTATAGCGCCACCTTCAGCTTAAAACAGAATTTGACTCATTTTGAATAAATTTTAGCCAATGGCTAAAGAGTAAGATACTACGTAAACCAGTAGAGTACTACGTAGCAGCTCTGTGTCAAAGTTATAAAAGCATCGAGCGTCTCGGCCACGCCTTGTGGCGAGTTGGGAGTTGGATTTGCAAGCGAGTGTAGGAGGTTAGCCGTAGTTCAGCATTAGCGTATAGCATTAGCATATCCTAGTCTTTAGCATAGCTTTTAGTGTTATAAATACTTATTTAGTGTTAGCTTGGCTGTTGGATATTGTAGTTTAGTTAGTGTTTGGCTGTTAGTGTAATTGGGAAAGTAGTTCGGGTTTAGTGCTCCATATCATCTTAGTATTGGTGAGTAGGTGTAGTGTAGTATGGTTGCGGTGACTCTGTGGGCATTTTACCCGCGATTCTGCACGTCTCCGTTTGAAGAGGGAGGCTGTGCCCACCGTGGCTCTTCCGCGATTTAGATGCAGCCCACCGACTCTGCTCCCCCACCATGACGGGCTCCAGTCTGAGGTGAGTACGCTAAATAAACGTTTTAACATCTTCTAAAGACAATTCCCTACCTAAATGCAAAGTCTGAGAGACGTGGTTCACTTCCTTTAGCTAGTCAGTCGGCAATTCTGCAACAGTGTCTCTAACTAACGCTGCACTAGTTGACAGACAGCATTACAGCGTGAAATCCAGCTTGTGACCAGGTTCTGTAAGGAATTCTGTGCAGGAGGTCGCATTTCAGGCTCTCCACATCATGTGTGACTGACTTTTACGTTATAATAACGATCACACACTAGGAATGTTATAAAGCGCCTATATAGGACAGTTTCTTTTGTATATTATCTGACTTTATAAACTCCCAACAACAATGTGCTTATATATTTTTTTCAGGCTAAATCTACCCAAGACACTGGCTGTCAGACTGATTTAGCTGCAAGAATGCACTTGTCCAGGCTGACGTGAAGCTTTACCGGCGTAGCAAAGGTGAATTATTTTTAATAATCTTCTATGTAAACATTTTATTATTACCTTCTAGTTTTAATTTGTTTTACAGATTATTGTTACACGTGATTTTATGCTCTTTGAAACATTTATAAATGTGCTGCTACTTTGTTTTTACATAGCCAGCCAGAATAGAGCTCCCAGCCACAGTGTGTCTGGTGACCCACGGGGACCATGATGAAAATTCATCTTCCAGAAGGTCCCAGAGCAGCGTCCACACCCCTGAAAAGACCAAGATGTAAGGTGTCTGCTGTTTATTCCAGCTTCCACCTCAGTGACAGTGCAAGCTCAGTGAACTGTTCAAGGTAAAAAAAAAATTAAAACATTTCAGAATTTTTAAGATATTAACAATTAAATAAGTATGTGATTACATCATGACATCATGAAGGAGGCTACTGATTCTGCCCCTGTGACACTTGGTGGTGACGTGTGAGCTGATTCACCTGGTAAATAACTTTTACATTAAATATTTTGTTTTTGCTATCAAAAGTAAATTAACTAATAACCTGCATTATTGCAGGACACTCAGCAAAATATGGACTCTACACCATGAGGCAGGCACACGTTAATAACTCTATAAGAGCACATAAGGTGAGCAACACCACATATTATTGTTATTACTGTACACTGTCCTGGATTTGTTTTCTTTCTGCATCTCTTCATTAGCCTGGCTGATCACCTGATACCTCCTGTCATCTGGTTATGACAGCATGAGGATGTCCTCACACACCTGTAACCTATCAGCTCATCTGGCAGAATAGAGAGAGAAGAGACAACACCACATCTCCTGTTCCTGGAAAGCCTTCAGCCATCCTTCGATGACTGAGAACCTCCATCAGCTCTGTCTCCTGTCTGCCTACAATTATTATAATAAATATTGTGTTTGACAAGTTTTTTGTGCTGCCAAATATCTCATTTTGATTCCAGTTTTGATATTTTAATGGATATTTATAAATTACATTAATTGAATTATAACAATGCATGATTAACTAGCTCTATTGTGATGAATTAAACTAGCACCTCACTGTTAAAAGCTCGTTTTAATTTCAAGCATGTTTAAGTATTTATGGACATGAACAAAAACAGGAAATATATAAATTGAGATTTATTTAATTAATATAACAAATAAGGGGGAAAGAGTCATTGAAAGGCACATTCTTCTGGAAGCTCCTGATCCTGACGACACCACCAGCAGGAGACCAGCTGCAGACACCAGAGGACCTAGAACCAAGAGAGCAGCTGGTATCAGTAAATAAATAAATCAGGGCAGTTTTAGTGGGCTGAACACATTACAGAATAATTTTATCATGGGGTATTTTCATAACTTTCTATGCAGCAGACTGTAACTTGAGCCCAGGGCTCCTGGAGAGCTGCTATCCAGCATGTTTCAGTGGATTTTCCTGCTTTAACAGGTTAGATTAGCTGTTAAGCAGCTCAGCTATTTGTTGCTGATTAAAACCAGGTGTGTTGAAGCAGATGAACCTCTAAAACATGCTGAATACTAGCTCTCTAGGGCCGTGGAGCCAAACCCTGCATAGCTAACGCTATGGCTAACGACTACTTACCATTGAGAGCTGGTTCTGTTGGGTCGGTTCTGGGAGTTTCAGGCAACTCACAAGCTCAAAACAATAAGGCTCAGGTCCGCTTGTCTCCTCCAAATAGACTTGGTCCCTTTCTTCTCGAGTGTCTGGGTAAGGAGGGGGAGAAACGTCCTCCACTTCTAATAACTGCTCAGAGTGAAGGGAGCTAGCATCGTCTCGTTAGCCATCGTCTTCGTCACTGCCGTGGCTCCGCCCTCTCGGTCCTCCAGGCAACGCCTACTAATGTTGCAGTTTTTAAAATTGATACGTGGGTGGAAAAGGACTCCGAGGCTCACTTGACCCGCTCTTTAATTAAATAATGTTTTTGGGAGATGTTAGTGATGACCTTCACACTCGCTCACACAGGTCTGCATTCACAGTAACTCCAAAACACATTTGCTCTGACGCACAAGTTTGCTTTGGGAAGAGAAGTGGTTTTTGGTAAGTTAGTCAGTTCGAGTTTGACTACGAAAGAGAGCGGACGTGCTGAACAAACGCCAACGGGGAACGGAGCCCCGCCGGCTTCCCCCCCCCCCCCCCCCCCCCCCCCACGCTATTTCTGTCAAGCCAGACAGAATAGCTGAAATGCAACCGCTAACGCAGACTCGTCCCAGAGTCTTTGATTTCTGAGTTAATTTAAACTTGAGAAAGCGTATCTGCTAAACGCTTCATCAACGTGTACCGAGGTCAACTCTGGACCGGATTGTCGCACACATACGTCTCCTCTGCCAGCCAAGGTGTGACCTGGATAACATCCTCCGAGGTCCGGATCCGAAAAGAGGGTCCTAAGGTCGGTGAGGCAGAACACCATAGATAGCGTTCTGATGCAGTTTTTCTAATAAGAGCTAAGTTTAATTCAAACCATCATTTTCACTCAGATTTGCCTTTTCTCTCCCTGAAGCAATCTCAGACACATGAATGCACACATTCATAATTCCATCATTCTCAAATCTTAGCACATCCAACACAAGGTCTATTTGTGCAAGCTTAAAATATCAACTGTTAAAGATTGTCCAACGAGGTTGCCAATGTTGATTGTTTTTCCTATGATTGTCATTTCAAATCGTTAGTTTAAATTGAAGGATTAAAAGTCTTAAATTTCAAACTTGTCTTTTCATTGAACTGAAACACAGACACACGGATATGATCGTCAGTTTATCGATGAAAACAACCTTTGAGTCTTCTTATCTCTATAACATTTGGTTATTAATTTATTAAAATTAATATTCCAGATTATTCTGTAGGATGGTTCCTCTTTAATAAAAGAGCCATAAACCATTACACTACACAGTGTATAATGTGTATTGCTTCACATTCTGACAGCTTCATAGTAATTAATGTAAATATGTGCAACTTAGAAAAATGAATGTTCAATAGTCGTTCTAAAAAACATGCCTGTTTGTAGAAAACATGCGTGTGTGCGTGCAGGTGGTGTGGTGTGGTGGTGGGGGTGGGGGGTGGTTGGGGTGGGGGGGCGCTCAAAGGGGACCTCGCCCAGGGAGTAATTCCATGTAGAACCGCCACTGCTTCTCTGGGTCAGGGATGAGGTCCTGCCTCAAGTGGAGGAGTTTAAGTATCTCGGGGTCTTGTTCACGAGTGAGGGAAAGATGGAGCGTGAGATCGACAGGTGGATTGTTGCTGCATCTGCAGTGATGCGGGCGTTGTACCGGTCTGTCGTGGTGAAGAGAGAGCTGAGTCAGAAGGTGAAGCTCTCGATTTACCGGTGGATCTACGTTCCTACCCTCACCTATGGTCATGAGCTTTGGGTAGTGACCGAAAGAACGAGATCACGGATACAAGCGGCCGAAATGAGTTTTCTTTGCAGAGTGGCTGGGCTCTCCCTTAGAGATAGGGTGAGAAGCTCGGTCATCCGGGAGGGGCTTGGAGTAGACCTGCTGCTCCTCCACATCGAGAGGAGCCAGTTGAGGTGGCTCGGGCATCTGGTCAGGATGCCTCCTGGACGCCTCCCTGGTGAGGTTTTCAGGGCACGTCCAACCGGGAAGAGACCTAAAGGTAGACCCAGGACACGGTGGAGGGACTATGTCTCTCACCTGGCCAGGGAATGCCTTGGGATTCCCCCGGAGGAGCTGGCCCAAGTGGCTGGGGAGAGGGAAGTCTGGGCCTCTCGCCTTAGGCTACCGCCCCCGCGACCCGACTCTGGATAAGTGGATGGATGGATGGATGGATGGATAATGAAGACTCTCACCTGGCTCCATCTTTATGACTTTAATAGCTGCCATCTCTCCACTCTGCTTGTTACGAGCCTGAAAACACACAAGAACATTTTACACACTCCTAGTTCTCAGTGTTTCATTTGCATGTTTTCTCTTGAGACCTGGTGTGTGTGTGCGCGCGTGTGTGTGAGTGTGCGTGTGTGTGTATGTGTGTGTGTTATTATTTCAGTACATGTTATACTTCTAACAGTACATCAGTATTTACACATCAGTGTTTACACTTCATCACTTTTATTTTATGTCCTTAATTTTTTTACTACAGCTTCCAGTTCATCCACACACATGCAGTTCCTTTCATCTCTTTACCATTGTTGAGGGTCTGCCCTCATGAGGAAATTAATATGCAGTAATTTCTCCAAAAGAAGCAAAAAAGTATTTAGTCAGCCACCGATTGTGCAAGTTCTCCCACTTAAAATGATGACAGAGGTCAGTAATTTTCATCATAGGTACACTTCAACTGTGAGAGACAGAATGTGGAAAAAAATCCATGAATTCACATGGCAGGATTTTTAAAGAATTTATTTGTAAATCAGGGTGGAAAATAAGTATTTGGTTAATAACAAAAATTCAACTCAAAACTTTGTAACATAACCTTTGTTGGCAATAACAGAGGTCAAACGATTACTATAGGTCTTTACCAGGTTTGCACACACAGTAGCTGGTATTTTGGCCCATTCCTCCATGCAGATCTTCTCAAGAGCAGTGATGTTTTGGGGCTGTCGCCGAGCAACATGGACTTTCAACTCCCTCCACAGCTGCTAATACAGTAGCTGGTGCAGCTGCTAATACAGTAGCTGGTGCAGCTGCTAATACAGTAGCGGGTGCAGCTGCTAATACAGTAGCGGGTGCAGCTGCTAATACAGTAGCTGGTGCAGCTGCTAATACTGTAGCGGGTGCAGCTGCTAATACAGTAGCGGGTGCAGCTGCTAATACAGTAGCTGGTGCAGATGCTAATGCAGTAGCGGGTGAAGCTGCTAACAGTAGCAGGTGCAGCTGCTAATGCAGTAGCGGGTGCAGCTGCTAATACAGTAGCGGGTGCAGCTGCTAATACAGTAGCGGGTGCAGCTGCTAATGCAGTAGCGGGTGCAGCTGCTAATACAGTAGCGGGTGCAGCTGCTAATGCAGTAGCGGGTGCAGCTGCTAATACAGTAGCGGGTGTAGCTGCTAATGCAGTAGCGGGTGCAGCTGCTAATACAGTAGCGGGTGCAGCTGCTAATACAGTAGCGGGTGCAGCTGCTAATACAGTAGCGGGTGCAGCTGCTAATACAGTAGCGGGTGCAGCTGCTAATACAGTAGCGGGTGCAGCTGCTAATACAGTAGCGGGTGCAGCTGCTAATGCAGTAGCGGGTGCAGCTGCTAATACAGTAGCGGGTGTAGCTGCTAATGCAGTAGTGGGTGCAGCTGCTAATACAGTAGCGGGTGCAGCTGCTAATACAGTAGCGGGTGCAGCTGCTAATGCAGTAGTGGGTGCAGCTGCTAATACAGTAGCGGGTGCAGCTGCTAATACAGTAGCAGGTTCAGCTGCATATTTCTATGTTGTAATGGAATTCATGCATTAGTTTTTGTTTGCTTTGAACCCAGAGCAGACGTCACACGCCAGACGACATCAACACTGCATACTTTAGTATTTGTTCATTTATCGTGAGTAATATCGATATCGCAATATTAAGCACTGTTATCGAATATCGCAGGTTTTCCTAATATCGTGCAGCCCTACTGCAGCAGAATTCTCTGTCTATAGCCAGGATCAAACCGGCAACCTTCTGATTACGGGACAACTCGGGCATCCTCCTGCGCTACATTACATCATTAGATTTGCTGACTCCCATCACTGGATGTTCTTTTAAAAATAAAACTTCATCTATGGTTTCTAATAAACCAAAGGGAAATCCTGAGAACTCCACTGGGACATCTCCGAGTAGATCACTGACCCACTGTGTCACTGAATACGTTCATCTCTGTGTAGAGAACACCGTCCCAACATGAAGAGGGAGGTGTTTCTCCAATAATAAAACCTAGTTGACTCCTGAGCTGAAATCCTTGCTGAATGATAAGAAAAGAGCTTTTATGGCTGGAGACAAAGGGGAGCAGAGACAAGTGCAGAAGGAGCTTAAATATACCGCCAACCATCAGCAGGTTCTGACGGGATCAGCCCCAGTCTGCTCAGAGACCGAGCTAACAGCTTTGTGGTCACACACATGTTCAACCTGGGCCTTCAGCTGGAGCAGGTCCCCATCCTGTGGAAGACCTCCTGTATGATTTCAGTTCCCAAAACTTCCCATCCCAGGGAACCAGACCTCTACAGACCTGCCGCCTTGACCTCCCATCTGATGAAGACCATGGAGAGACTCATCCTCACCCACCTACGTTCAGTGGTGACCCCAAAAATAGACCCACTGCAATTAGCATATAAACCAACCATGGGGGTGGAGAACACGCTCATCGTCCTGCAGCACCGGGCTCTGACTCAACTCGAGATGCATAAAAGCCACTAGAGAATCACGTTCTTGGACTTCTTAAGTGCCTTCAACGCCATCCAGACGTCTACTGCAGCAGATGATGAGGGGTGCAGGATGGACGAACATCTGACTGCATGGACCTGCATCATCTACCTCACCAACAGACCACAGTACATGAGGCTGCACAACTGTACATCTGAGGTGGCTGTGTGCAGTACTGGAGCTCCACAGGGTACGGTGCTCTCACCCTCTCTCTTCACCGTCTACACCTCGGACTTCACCTACAGCACCAGCAGCTGTCACCTCCAGAGGTTCTCAGATGACTCGGCCATTGTTGGCTGTGTGTCTGAAGGGAATGACCTGGAGTACAGATCAGTCATCATGGACTTGTGGACTGGTGTGAGCGTAACCACCTTCGCTTGAACACCAGTAAGACAAAGGAAATGGTGACTGACTTCCAGAGAAACTCTCCTCCTCACTCACCAGTAAGCATCCAGGGAGCAGACACTGAGGAGGTGGATACCTTTAAGTACCTGGTCTTCACCTCAACAGCAAACTGAACCGGTCCAACAACACAGATGCTGTACAAGAAGGGCCGAACAGACGAGCTGTCCTGCATCTTGCTGGGTTTCTGGTTTGTCTCTAACCAGTCTGTCTTCTCTGACTCACAGGAACCACAGTAGGACGTCTACGACCCGCTGCAGAAATACACCACGATGACGCAGGTGAGCAAGTCAAGAACACTTTTGAACATATTTCAGTCATCAGCTGCTGGTTTCATACAAAAATATCAGATCTAGGTTCTAGTTCTTTGGTCAAATTTAAAATTTAGCTCCTTGAAGAATATTCCTGCACATCATACCAGGATGGAGCACCAGGATTAGTACCTTCATCTGGAGTCGCTTCATCAGAAACCTTCAGAGGAAATTAAAGATGACTCATCTGGTTTTATCAAGTTAACTCACAACCTGATGGGAGAAACAGTACTCTAGGTAAATGCTGCTCTAGTGAAATAAGATGCAAGTGCAGTCTTCCTGGTTGTTTGGATCTAACCGGTTCTAACTGGTGACGGTTTAATGGTCACATTTTCACCAGCAAAAGGACCTGAAATTAATCAGTTTCAGAGCTTAACTACACCAGATCAGTATGTGTTTATTTAACGTCAGCCTGCCAGTATACACACACGTTATAGTAAGATTAATGTTTAACATCCACTTCACACGAGTGTTTAAACATTCCCATTCACACTAGGGTCTGGCTGAAGGAGGGACTTCTGAGGTATTTTAGGAACGCCCTCAAACGTGTCAAATTCTGATTTGCCAAATTTTTCAACAAAGTGATTCGATAAAACAATAATTACTTCCTGATTAATTCGGTTTCTAGATAACCGGCCAATTCAGGAACAAGCATTGTGAAACCATCCTATCTTTTGACCTCAGGTCAAAGCCTCTTGGTGATTTCAGGCACAACAGCTCTTCTAAGAGCCAACGAACAGCCTCAGACACAAACAAGCACTCCAGCTTCCTGCCGTGACCTGGAGATAACACAGACTAGATGGGTCCTACTCTGAGCTCGCTACGGGCTTTGGTACCAGAGGTCCACGTCATCGGCAGAGTCCACCTCAACCCCCTGGATCACTTGAGGATCTCCACACAAGGGTACGTAGACTCGGCATATAAACTACATACTTGACTCTGTCTGAATTAATACGAAGAGTGTTTATGGTCCCTGAATAAGTCAAAGTAACTAGAATCTTCTGATTAAACATTTAAAGATCAATCAGATTGGTATTTCATATTTAAATGGAACATCACATCTTACTGATCAATTGTTCATAAATGTAAACAATCTTTAACACTACACTCGGTGTCATCCGCTGGACTGTTCTCATGCAGCCTTCCTGGACCAGGTCACTCCTGCAAAAGAGATTTTCAATTCAAGTTTATTTCTAAAGCTCCAAGTCAGGACCAGAGTCGTCTCAAGGACCTGCACACAGGTCAGGTCATTAAGCCAATCAGTAACAAGTTTCCTATGTAAGGAACCCAGCAGGTTGCATCGAGTCACTGACTAGTGTCAGAGTCTTTACAGCAATCCTCATACTAAGCAAGTGTAACGTGAGGAAATATGGGTTTTCTGTGCCAAAGGTTTCATTTGACTCGGCTGGGTCAAAGCTGGGTCGCTGAGAACTTTCACCCACAGATTAAGACCTGAACGCCAGCGAGTCTGGGAGAAACCATAACATCTGAACACCTGCAGTGCCAGAAGATGTGTTCTCATGGAAAAGCTAGTCATAACATAACAAAGTCTTAGACTTCCTTTTCTTTATTTTGAATGTTAAATAATCATTATTATCATTTTACTCATTATAAATGTATTTTAATCAAATGAATTATTATTATGCTTTGGTTAATCATAATCACTATAGTGAGGCAATGCTTAATTAAGTAATGTTTTGAGGATGTTTGGTAACAACCTTCACACACTCAAACACACACTCAAACACTCACACACACACAAACTCTCACAGTAAACTCCAAAACACGTTTGCTTTGAGAAGAGAACTGGGTTTGG